TTCTATTCTATTCTATTCTATTCTATTCTATTCTATTCTATTCTATTTTTCTCTTCTCTTCTAATTTTCTCTTCTCTTCTCTTCTCTTCTCTTCTCTTCTCTTCTCTTCTCTCCTCTTCTAATTCTAATTCTAATTCTCTATTCTATTCTATGCTATTCTGTGCTATTCTAATTCTCTATTCTATTCTAATTCTCTATTCTATTCCATTTTTCTCGTCTCTTCTCTCTTCTCTTCTTTCTGTTCCTCACTAACTCTCTCTCTCTGGCACATACACAAAGCAACTATGCAACGTGTAGCCTCAGTAATTTCCGAGGTCTGTTTCACCCAGTTAAAAACAGACTGATGCAGCCGTGCATGTTAAATAACTCTTTATCAAAACTAACAAAGATTGCCACTTTTTTTTTTAATTGCATTGGCTTCAGCGTAAATAAATAATTCACACAGCCTTCTTGTTAAGGTAGCTCTGATGTAGCGATCACCGGAATGAGAAGCTAGAAATTAGTTTTCTTTGTTTATTTGTTTATTTTTATTTCAGGAAATTTATATTGCCGCCTATTCGCACATGGGGACTCCAGGCGGCTTACAGCTTAGTTTAGTTTACTTTATTGTCATTGCACCTCATACAACGAAATTAAATGCCTTCTCCAGTGTACATTATGGCTAGAAAAATAAGACACAAGCATTCTATACAGTTGAACTGAAAACCCTTGATATGGCGTTAATATTGCACGCTACAGTAGAATTCAATATAGTTATGGCAATATTGCAGGAATATGAAAACCTCAGATATAAAAACTATAAAACCAATAAAAGAGAACAGTCCTCTAATAAATTACTTGTATCGTATTATAATAATATAATAAATGAATAAAATAATATAATAACCCCCCTACAACAACATATCAGACGAGCCATTTAATGGGCTCCATCTCACTCTGCATATTGGGGTGGGTGGGTGGGAGAGATAACTCCCCCCCAAAAAGGAAGGAAAAAAACAAAAACTAAGACAGGCTAATGACATGCTAAATTGCAACCGCTCTTTTATAAAATATTCACCGTCTTAGACACGTCTTGATATTAAAAGATTAAAAGTCTGGGGAGAATCGTCCCCCCGCGATGCCTGAGACCTGATTTATGAGCTGCTAGGAGCCAGCTAACTTTCTGATTCATGACGGTGAGGTTTCCAAAAAGTAACCTTTCCAGCAAAGGAAATAAGGTGGTGTGGGAAGGTGGGATTTAGGGTGGAGAGTGGGGTAAGGAAAGGAAAAACCAGGGTAGGAATGACTTGGCAGGAAAGCACCCCATCTTGGCTTGGAGAGGCAAAGGGATGGGTAAGAGTAACTGGCCCCCCACCGCATTCTCAATTTGTTTTTAGGGAAGGGTTTTTTTTTTTTCCAATTGAAGTGGCCCTTCATAAGTCATTTCCTCCCTCCCGAGTTTTTTATTATTATTATTATTATTATCTGCCTGGGCCATTAATTCCTCACACTTACAGAATAACAAATATATGTTCTACGAATCAGCCAGAAAGAAGGAAAAAAAAGAGGTAAAATAAAACACCCAGATTGGAGAAGAGCAGAGAAGGGAGCATCGTTGTGTGATATAAAGATGTTACTGTTGTTATTCGTTGGTTAATTAGTGGATTAATGAATGGCGGTTGTTTTATGTCACACACTGGCAGAACCTGGAGTTCCCCTGCATTTTAAGTCCTCCTTCTCTTCCTCCTCCTCCACCTCTTCTTCCTCTTCCTCCTTCTCTACCTCCTCCTCTTCTTCCTCCTCCTAACATTTAATTGCCCAGCTAGGTAGCATCATCATTGCTAAGAGGATGTGAGGTTTGGTCTCCCTCTTCTAGCACTGATGATGTTACCTAAAATGAATGAAATGTCTTCCAGAAAACCACTAAGCTGAGAGGACTCCACAGTCTGTTTTCTCCTCCTTTATTTAGCTGTGTGAATAGACACTGAATGTCTCCAGTGCAGAAAATACAGGCCAGTTAGTCCACAGTGAAAACTGCAAGCCAAGATTTGAAGACGGCCATATCTCCATCTCAGCCTAGCGATTAATTCTGCAAAAGCATTCAAGTTCCCATCGGCCTAAGTCAGGCTTTCCCACTTGACTTTGCTGATTAAACCATGGTTTGCAAAACGCAACCGGTTGAGTTCACACCACCATCTGTTCCAGCCCGGGCGTCCCCTAACCCTGAGCTGCTTTAAGACAGGCTTTCTAAGAAAGAAACAGGAAGAAGAATGCTACGGATGGGTTCTGCCGGTGCCAACCGGTTTACACGCCTCTCTTGGTTGTGCAAACAACACACACAGCTTGATTCTATTAGGAGGAGCTTTTGTTTTCAGGAAGCTGAGATCGTTCTCCCTGCATCTGACCTTCGGCTGGCAATTATCCGAGAAAGGCAGCTCGGAGCAATCTGTTCAGACCCGAGCCTACATTCCTGTTGGAATGAGGCCAAATCCAGTTCCCAGCATCAGGGATTTTTACCAGAGGTCACCCCACTGCAAATGTGCTGGTGGGGGTGGAGGGAGGGAGAAGGAGAGGAAAGGAGATGATATGATTTTTAAAGATCGTTTTTCCAGGATCTTGGGAAGAGCTGTGATGCTGCGGTGGTTAGAATGCTGTAATACAGGCTAACTCTGCTGACTGTCAGCAGTTTGATCCTCCCCGGCTCAAGGTTGACTCAGCCTTCCATCCTTCCGAGGTTGGTAGGCAAGATGCTGACTCTGTAAAACACTTAAGAGAGGGTAGTACAGCACTGTGAAGAGGTATATAAGTCTAAGTGCTATTGCTATTCTTCCTTCCTTCCTTCCTTCCTTCCTTCCTTCCTTCCTTCCTTCCTTCCCCTCCTTGTTCCTCTCCCTCTCTTTTCTCCTTCCTTCCTTCCTTCCTTCCTTCCTTCCTTCGTTCCTAACGTGGTACAGTGATTAGAATGCAGTATTGCAGGTTAATTCTGCACAGTGCCACAAGTTTGATCCTGACCGGCTCAAGGTTGACTCAGCCATTCATCCTTCCGAGGTCAGTAAAACGAAGACCCAGATTGTTGGGGGCCATTTGCTGACTGTCAACCACATGGAGAGGGCTGTATATAAGTCTAAGTGCGATTGCCATTGTTATCTTTCATTGACTGGTTCCATACATAGATGGCAAGCTGGGTTTATTTGATTAGAAGCAAGATTGCTCTTTCAAAGTTGTTTTGGAGAGAAATTAAATGTACATCAACCGTGCACTTCTGTTCACCCCAAATGGTAAATTTTAGAGATCTTATCGGATTGAAGCCATGTTCTTTTGCATTGATTCTTCGGCCTGGCAATCTTCTCCTTTGTTGACAAGACCAATTGTTGATGAACACTTAAACCCATTATTTTTCTATAATTCGGATAGAACCCGCCTTTGCTGGGTTGGAAGAGGAGATTTGAGATTGAATTCAAGAGAAGGAGACTACAAAGCTCCATTCAGATGACCTGAGCTTGGCCAATGGTCCACTTACCAGTTTCTTCATCACAGAGATGCTCGCACGCATCCGTCGTTCTCTGCCCACAAAGATCACGGATCCATGGCGAGGTGGCATTGATTTGATAATACAGGGAGAGCTTCGCAGGATTCAGCCAGTCGGAGAAGTCCAAGTAGCTGCCCTCACTGACAACAAAACTGCTTCCTACAAGACAAAGAAAGAAGGTGAGGCAGAAAATAGCAGCTAGACAGACCAGAAGAGGTTCAAAGAGAAGCAGGAATGAGAAGGTGACTAAGATATAACGTGCAGAACAAATGGTGAAAGGACAAGACAATGAGAATTATGTAGAGATGTCACTTGCATTCTAGATACATGGCAAAGCAAATGTTCTATCCCAGCTTCATAGGAAGGTTAAAACTTCTGAGAAGCACAAAAAGTTCCTGATTGTATCTCAGGCATTTTCAACCAGTAGCAGATTTACCTCTGCAAATCTGCCACGGTTGCTGTAAAATAGAATAGAAAATTCTTGGATGTTTTGGATCAGCCCTGCCAGAATTCCCAGGAAGATAGCGGGTGTTGGGGAATTTGAGAATTGGAATCCAAAACATCTGGATATCATCACACTGGCTGGTCCAGTGTGGAGCGCTTATCGAAGTCAATAGAAAGTTTGGTTCCAGTTGGGTCTGCTGGTTAAGGCACCAAGCTAGAAAGCGGGAGACCGTGAATTCTAGTCTCACATTAGTCATGAAAGCCACCTGCATGAATTTGGGTCAATCATCAGGATATAGTGAGTTCTAGTCCCACCTTAGGCATGAAAGCCGGCTGGGTGAATTTGGGCCAATTACCAGGAGACAGTGACTTCTAGTCCCACCATAGGCATGAAAGCTGGCTAGGTGAATTTGGGCTAGTCACCAGGAGACAGTGAGTTCTAGTCCCACCATAGGCATGAAAGCCGACTGGGTGAATTTGGGCCAATCACCAGGAGGCGGTGAGTTCTAGTCCTGCTCACAGGGTTTGTTGATAAGAAAATAGGAGAAGGAAAGTGTGTTGGAAATATTCCCCAGCAGGAGTTATTTGTAAAAAAACCAATAAAGTTAGGATACAAACAAACAAACTTCATGGTTTGAAAACCATTTTTTCACCTTCATCTCCCCCAGAACACAAACGCGCTGTGCAGTACGCACAACAACAAAGATACAATAGTGCAGCAATAGCAAAGCAACTGGAAAGTTGAGAGTTTGAAGGAACCACCAATTAGCAAACATTTATATGTATGCTAATCACAAGGCTGGGGACAAATCTCAGCATGATGAATATTTAATTAACACAATGCCTTAAAAGTAGAGTGTTGTTTAATGCAGAGTTGACCATAAGGTTGAAAAAAAAAAGATTGCTGGGTATATGTCTGTGTATATGTGTGTGTGTGTGTGTGTGTGTGTGTTCCTCTCTCTCTCTCTCTCACACACACACACACACACACAACACACACACACACACATTGTACACCCATACTGAAACAGCAAAAATGTGTTTTCTCCCACCACTTGGCAATATGCATCTTCTAATTAGGCAAATGTATTTTCAGTTTTCCTTATCTAATATCAGACAGCGAGTGTAATAAGGGCAGAAGGGGTGGTAGTTTACAAATGCTTGCATTCTCATTAATTCTGGTCTTCAATTACATTGATTATAAGGCTGTTTTAAAACGCTGTGACAGAGATCAGAGCTGAAGTATGGAGAGGAGGAAGGAAGGAAAGGAAAGAAGGAAAGAAAAGAAGGAAAGGAAGAAGGAAAGGAAGGAAGGAAGGAGGGAGGGAGGGAAGGAAAGAAGGAAAGGAAAGAAAAGAGGAAGGAAGGAAAGGAAGAAAGGAAGAAAAAGGAAGGAAAAAAGAAGGAAGGAATAAGGAAGAAAAAGCAAAGGAAGGAAAGGAAAGGCAGAAAGGAAGAAGAAAGAAAGAGAAAAAGAAAAAGGAAGGAAGGAAGAAAGAAAAAGAAAGAAAGATCTCCAGACATCCTGCCAGAGTTTGCAAAGAAATGCTATGGAAACCCACTGAAAACCAGAAACAGATTTCTCAATCACACTGTCCTTGTGTCGACTCTTTCCCCCTCTAACGAATGGGAGAAGGCTGGCTCCCCGGCCTCATCATTTAGCCTCTGGAGATAAGATGTTGCTACCCTTAACCTTGAAGTGACAGACAGAAGAAGGTTAAGTTTTGCTACTGTCCATCTTGGAAGGAAAATGCATCTGAGAAGAGAGAATACTCATGTCTGAGCTAAGTTGCAACCAGTGATGGGCTGAAATCTGGCCTCCAACATGCAACAGCTTTTCTTGTTCTTGTGTGAAAGGAGGTAGTGGCTTCTTTTGATCGGTTTAAGCATTTGTTCAGGTGATTAACACCATTGTAAATGTTTTCTGGTAGACTTCTCATCAACTTTTGAGGGGTAAGACAAGCATATTACAATTAAACCTTCTTCTTCTTCTTCTTCTTCTTCTTCTTCTTCTTCTTCTTCTTCTTCTTCTTCTTCTTCTTCTTCTTCTTCTTCTTCTTCTTCTTCTTCTTCTTCTTCTTCTTCTTCTTCTTCTTCA